TCCGCGCACGGCCCCGGGAGCCGTGCCCGGTCCTGGCGCCGGGGCTCTGCCTTCAGGGACACGCGGCGGCACCTCCGCGATAAGGAGGCCCTGCCCGTGAGAGAAGGGGATGGGAGGGGGATAGCCTTCCTTCCCCCACATCCTCACAGGTTTGGCTTTAGAGGTCGGCAGGGAAGGAAGGAAAGAAGGAAGAAAAGACAAAAAGATTAAAGAAGAGTGCACGTATGGTGGTGGTGATGATGTTTCACTAAAGAGGAGAGGCGCACAGGAGCACTGATTATTCTTACTGGAGGGAGAGGAGAAGCTCCAGTAACACCGAGGGAAAGGAAGAGCAGTAACTGTGCACGCATCAATGACACGTTTGCACAGAAAGGCACCGCGCGAGGGGGGGAGGCTTCTGCATAGGCACCTCTGCTCACAGGTCTACGGTAGTAGCAGAGAAGTGCAGATTAAAAAAAAAAAAAATCTGTCATAAAAGATAAAATATAGATAACATTTTACAGCACTAACACCTTGACTATTAATGAAAGGTTAAGCAAAAAAAAACCCACAAAACAAACCTGTTCTAACCTCAGATAGTAATTTGTATATGAAGACAGAAAACTGCCACTAACGGAAAGGATACATTTTTGTACTTCTCCATTCCCTGCACAACAGAATTTATTTTGAAAAAAAATGGGGTTTTTTACCCTGAAAATGACAACAAACATTAATAACTACTGAATCAAATCACTGAATTATTTTTAAGTAAAAATTTTGTGAAAACATTTATTGTCTGTAGAAAGAAAATTTACATTTATTTTATATAAACTATGTTAAACATACATATAAACATACCTACATCTTACTATATATACTTATGAATGAGGCTTTTAGATATGGGATAACATTGTCAGAAGCACCTTTGTGGACTCAAAGACTACAGACTTAAATTGCATTTGCATTTAACTCCAGCTTCAGTAGTTCAAAAGTGTCATTTCTTATCCACACTTAGAAATAATTACATTAAAGGCTTCTAACAGTGTGTTTGCATGTGTACATACATGTGCACATACACACATTAGACAGTCCTTGTGAAACTACAATATAAATAACGCCAACAATCTATTCCTTAGAAGTGGACATTAGTTCCCCTCATTCAACTGGGGGCAAAAAATTCCTGCTATTCTTTAAACAAAACAATGAGGCTTTTTTTATTCCATGAAGAACGTACTCGAACAACAACTGTTTCCACCCTGTCTCTTCCCTTCAATAAAGACATAAGAGAAGCCAGTCACAAAATGAAAGCCATCTACTACATTATTTACAGAAAATGAAGTACTAAGACAACATGAGATTTAGACTTCTTAGATAAAATTCAGAGGAATGAAGAGTGAGCAGAAGAAAACTGTATTAAAGTGGCAGGCAGCACAGAGCTACTAAACCACAAGGCTAAATACCTTCTCAAAAGCCCTCCAACAACAAAAACCACCAGGCACAGAAGGAAGGGGCAGGTGTTATGACGAGTTTTCTCTGATCTTGACACTGAAAATTTATGCTCACAAAGCCTGAAACAGAACAAACGTTCATGACTATCCTTAAGGTCTATTAATGAGTCAAGTGTTAAGGGAGGCTTTCAGAGATCTTGAAATGGCTTTTATTACTTCTTTCCTTCATAAGGAGGCTGAAGAACTTCCTTATCTTCAAATCCTGCAGCAATGGAATGACATCTGTCAAGGGTCAGAGTTATGTGCAGAAACATCCTTTTTTTTTTCCCCCCCGATTCATTAGGATGCAAGTCTGAAGTCTTTTAAGAGGGCTCTCCCATGAAGAACATTGTAGATTGCTGTTCAGATGCTTGAAGAAAGGCAAAGGCATGTTTCTAACACAGAATGGGAAAAGCTTTCCTTTCAGAAAGCAAGGAAATTAAAGAACACCCTCCATTTACAATCTAAGGTAAACACTGAGAAATCAGTCTCTCTTTGTTATGATTTTTATCATCTTCTCCAAGCAATTCTAACTATCCATTTCCAAGACATGGCAGAAAATAACCTTCCGATGCATAACAAGCAAGTTTTGAGAACTCTGCCTTTTTTAATGCCACAACAGTGTTATCTTGGGATTTTTTTCTGTCTTTAAAGCAACCAAGTTCATTTAAACAAAACTCAGCATTTCACCCTGAGGCCCAAAGGAAGAAGGCAGCAGATAAAAACTGTTACACATCAGGCAGTCAATCAGCTGAATTTCTTCCCAACCTCTATCAGTTACCTGAGTTGAGACAGTTATGTCCAGGTCTCAAGACCATCTAAATCCATCAGGTAAAATGATTTTAAACATGTAAGTAATTATTAGAGTTAAGGCAGGCTGGTAGAAGCCTTGCAATGTGTTGTTTCTTACTAGACCCAGAATTTTGTGAACCTTGTGAACCCAATCATCACAAAGTTTAAAGTAACAATTCTAACCAACTTATGCAGAGATTAAATGGATCAGCAATGTAATTGCTAACATCATAGCCACTCAGTATTTCAGACACTTAGTAGGAAGACTCTAGTCATATTAAACCCATTGCATTTTGGATAGCAATTAAAAAAACAATTTCACATGTGAACAACTGAGAATGACATGAGCATTTAACAGCCATTTCAAGCTAAACAAAAGAAAGGCAATTCACATTTGTATTTTCAAAGTATAAAACAGAAAGCTAGAAAGCTCTTAAGACAATCACATTTTCAACTTGCCCTTCCAATGCAAATGCAGTGACTTTACTAATAAAAGAGTCACTGTTTTCCTACTGAGGCTTTCGCATTTAAAGTAAACAGTTATTTTAACAAGAACTGTTATCAATCCATGCTCCCATTAGAAAGAATGCAATGATCAGGATTTCACTTCAGTCTTTGTACAGGTGTTTTCTACAATGCAGTCACAATACAGAAAGGCACCAAGTTATTCAAGTAAATTGACCTTTCTTCTACTTAACACTTTTTCCTGTGTCTCCACAACCAATCAGTAACTTCAGTACAATGCTCTCAACCAAACACTGTATTCCAGTTCAACAGAATTTTCTGTGCTAAAAGAATAAATGATTTGGCTATAAGCATGTAGACACAGGCCCCTGTAATTCACAAAGATAAATCTACATAGCAATGTCTCACACCAGATATAGAGTAGATGCCTCTAGCATCTAAGCCTTGAATTTTTATAAAATTCATACATTTCTGTACGCATTTTATAAAATGTAGGAAGTTTTATCATGACAGGATCCCAAATTACTGAAGTTATCAGTCAAGAATGTGATTTGAGCAAATAGTATCACCTTACATAAAAGCTAAACCAACTGAAACAGTAACTATATTTCACATTACATTCATCTTGAGATGGGTAGGGGTAGGTGAGGGGCGGGGGGGAATCAAAGTAAGCAAACATGTCAAAAAAAACCCCAAAACTTCTTTGTAGTATGTTGGTCACAGTTATAGAAATAAAGCAGAAAGCTAAACTGTTAAAGTACAAAACAAATTAGAGTTACCTAGTCATGCATAGATAAAATAAGAAAGCACAAAATCAGAGGAGTCAGTCACATGTTTAAAACTGGTTAAAGCAGCATTAACTGACTGAAGTCTGACTACTTCAGCATTACTTCCAAGCAGTGTTAGCAAAACTGCCATGTCAGAAGTTTCTTCATGTATCCACTTTTCCCATTTGCTCAACAATGAGTTCACTTCCAGGCTTTAGTAAGAACACTGCAGGAAGCTTACAGACACAGTAGTATCCTGTTGAATAAGACAATACAACTTCAGTAGTTCGTCCTTTATCATATATGGTTTCACTTCTTACGTCTTTCACAGTGCACATTCAAAAGTTGTGTGAAAGGCTTGTTGGCTTGAGGGTAAACCTGCCCTCATTTGTGGGGCCTGTGCAGTGCTCCCTTACCAGCAGACTCATCAGAACTGCAGCTACTCCACATTTGCTTTGGGTTGACTCACTTAACCTGTTGTTTCAATTCCTTATTTTCATCTCCCAGTAACTCTACATGGGATGATTCTGCCAGATTCATCACTGACAGCGTAAGTAAAATACCACTTTCTTATCTGCAGAAAGTTGCCTGCCTCTATCCGGCCACAAAATTTCTTTCCTTTCACTTCCCATTTTGTGTATGCATGTGAGGTTACTGAAAAACTAATTAAATCATTAATGATTGTTATTTAAACTGAAGATCTGTATTTTAGAAACAAACCATCTGTTACTGTTGAATGACCATAGCATCAATGAATGTTGCACACTTCCTGCCTTATTCCCCATGAACGCTAAGCAGTGCACCCCATGAACTGAAGATCTTACATGACACCATTTTAGCTGTTCTGAGCCATAACCACATTTTCAAATAGTCCCTCTACTGAAGAAATTGTGGAAAAAACCATTACAAAAAAAAGCATGCAGAAATCACATCCTGACTTTCCACCCAAAAAACAAGTTTCCTTTCCCCTGAACATACCCCTAACCCATTATTTGAATTCTGATCTACTAGCCACAACAGAGACTAGCCTGCATTCTATATAGCTAACACACCTTTGAAATTATGGAAATACATTAGCCTGCATGTATTATGGATATTGTGAACAACTTCCTTCTTAAGAACATCTCTTAAAACTACGTTTTATGAGTCTTTAACTTACCATCAGCAAAAAGTCCAAACAAACCTGTAATACAGACACACAACCCTACCACAGCTTATGCATTAAGGCAAAGGCTATAAACAGGAAACAGATACAATATTGTTTATAGCTGCTTATGAAACAGGTCTGGCTATTTGAGTTTTGTGCTCAGCCCAACAATATTGCAGTAAGGTAAACTTCAGAGAATCACTGGCAAAATTACAAGCTATCTGCATTTAAAGCAGTTTCAATTATGAACAGCTTTGCTAGAAGACATGCTTTCAAAAACTTACATTTTTTGTTTTTCTTGAAATTAAATACTTCAGGCCCCAATTTCAGAATCCAGGAAATCACCAAATCATTTATAACAAAAAAAGATTAGAGAAATGTGGCTCGGTCAAGAATCTCATACACCAAAATATAATGAGACAGAATAATTTTGAGTACAGACCAACTAACCCTCTAACAAACCCAAGCATGCTTTCAGTGCAGTTATAAGCTACTGCTACATAACTTTACATACCTGCCCGTTCCCATTCATTTTAATCAAATGCCAAAAGTTGTCCCAACATTCTAACAATTTACAAATGTACATACATATCAGAAACCCAAGTATATTATTAAACTAAAGTAATACAAAATACTGTTTTATGGAAATGGCTGAACAGAGGTGTAAAATCTATTGCACAACCTAAAAGGTCATTACTTGGAAAATCCTGAGCTAATGTGCTATTACCAAACAATTCAGGCACTTTTTTTTTTCCTTTTTATTATTACATAAGCAATAAACTTTCAACGTATAAACTTCTGGGTATAACAACTCAAGTTCCATCTGTAACAACATGCTGAGAGAGAAAGTATTTAATAAATAAGACTCCCTTCAACGACTTCCTTACTTGAGACTGGTATGCCAAAGGAACTAAAAGGTACACACCGTGATGTTTCAGTTGAATACTGTACTTTAAAAGCAATTATTAAAACTGTAAAAAAGTTCTGCAGCATTCAAAATAAAGTTATTTTTTAATCACGAAAGTTACAGCGTTAGTTCCTTTATCCTATTTTAAGTCTTGACAAAGTTGTCAAAAAACGAACAGATGCTCCCTTTGCTGTGTTATCTGTTTCAACTTCAGGATCACAGTTCAGTTCAGGTTTCTGTTGCAATATTTAGATTTCCCTACACAGAGAAAAAAAATAATTACTCCCAATTTGTAACAGCAGAAAAACCCTCTCAACTTTCATAAGTACTGTATTATGGTATGTAACATGTAAGATTCTTTCAATTATGGATTGAAACAGCACAATTGTAAAGACTGTACCCTAAAGGATGCACAAGTATTATTATTTCCAATGAAGTAAAGTGAAATAAAGATGTTCAGGCCACTTTAACAAATCTTGACAAGTTTAATTGTTACAACAGGCAAAATGCTAGAGTTTGAGGAACAGTTCTGGTTTTTAAGAATTAGCCAACCAGCAACCATTATGCTGTTAAGAAAATGGTTGTCATACTTACTCGTCAGCATTTATTTTACTTAAACATACTCAAATTCAAAAAAAAAAATCAAAATTTAGAACTCATTATAATTCTGTGATTCAAATCATAATATCTAGTAGCCAGATTGTGTTAAGCATGTGTTATAGGTTCCAGACAAGAACCTTAATAGCCAATTATAGAAGAACACTGGAAATTACTGGGGAAAGCCCACTACAATAAAATTATAACACTTCTATACCCATTTTACAAAGTCATAATTTTTTTGGGGGTGGTGGTGTAATCTTTCTATATCTATTATTGACTAATTCCAATTCAATTTAACCTTCAGAGGTAATACTTGTCAGGGCCCATGCAAATATAAGAGGCATTTTCCAGTATACTTCAGTAATAAGTGACCCATTTACCTTGTCCCAAGTGCCTGGTTTCTTTCTGGTTTGTTTTTTATTCTGTGTGTTTAACATTTTTGGGGGGCTTTCTCCCCCCCCCGCACTGGGTTGTCAACTTGAGGTTTTTTGAAAACAGCTGTAAGAATCTGTGCTCTAAGGTGCCTCTGTACTCTAAGAGCTGAACTCTAATCCAACTACAAATTCTTATGTATGCAAGTGTATTTACTTGTAGCTGTATGGACACAGAATTACAAAACAAGAATTCACACAAGAACACAGAACTGCAAGGGGCTGTGTGGGTCATCTAATCCAACTCTCTGATGTCACCAGTAACTTCATACTACTTTGATCATATTTGTTCAATTCTAACACAGGATTTAGAATGTTTTAACTACTGATCCTCATAAAAGCTGTAACATTTTATATGGTTCACAAGTTCTTCTGCAGTTCAACATTATTGTTGTCGCATACACACTGAAAATCAAAGCATCATAAACCAGATATGCCTATTCCAGTTCAGGCTTATCAAACCATTTTACAGAGACATTATATAGTGTAGGATGTTTTATTCAGAGCAGCACACCGGTGCATACTTTAAAGCACATGATTAATTTAAGGTAACATAACAAAGAGGGGAAGCACACAGATGTATTAAAAAATTAATACCCTTCACTTCGATTTAAAACCATAGCTTAAGAGGACAGAGTATTTTTTTTCACAGAAGGCCACTTTCTTGTCCTGTCAGTAGGAAGAGAAATCAACTGAGTTCAAGAAAAGAATACTGAAACAGGGGCAACCACAGAATCTCAGAGGCCACCTCTGATTTGCAGTTACCCGAAGCAAGTTTCAGCAAGTTTCCATAGAATAAACATGGAAGAAACAGGAGTACACAATCAAGGTTGCCTGTAAAGTACAAAGAGTCAATATTCCAGAAAATTCTATCAAAGTTATTCCATGAGGATTTAAAAATTGAAATGGATCTTATGAATATGCATATTTTATAAATGGCTTAGTAAAAAAAATAAATTAATCCAACTTACCTTTTCTTTCCTCAAAAATCCATCTCTGAATTTATTAGTGGTAAATCCCCTTACACCAACAGAACGTAACCGCTGGTACTTAGCCTGAATATATAAACCCTTCTGTACTAAGCCTGATTTATAATGGGATTGCAAACGGCCATCTGCAGAGTTGCTCTGGGGGAAGGGAGGAAAAAAAATGTGCAAAATGAGGGCACCAAAACTCAGAAGTTCATTTTACAGTTATACACATGTAAAACTTACAGCACCCAGTGACAGAAGCGTGCATTTGGAAGTGCACACCCTGTTCCTTTACTTCCATTTATTATTCCTCAGACCATTAGCTACCACTTGGCTTGAAGACCTACTGCATTACTGTTTAAAACATCTAAATTATCTTCCTCTTAGGAAAAAAGCAAGTGTATTGTACAGCCTTTAAACATTTTTTTTTTCAACCTTTAAGGAGAGGTACACTCCATCAACAAAAAACTTTCAGACAACACCTCATTGCCACAAACAAATTCAGTGATGCCAAGCTTGCAGTGGGCACAGGTGTCGCAGAAGTCAGTATATATGCTTTTCATATAGTTTAAGGTCTTTACAGTCTGAATGTACATACATACATTGCTCTATGCCTTTGATACCCCCAGACTGGAATACTGTAAACTAACCTAGCATGAGACTAGGAGCGGAGGCCATAGAGACAGCAAAAGACTTAACAATGAATGGCATTATAAATACACAAAGAGAAGCAAGATCAACACTGACCACAGCAGCTAAAGCTAGAAAAAGATTTTTATTACTAAGCACTCAGACATCCAACAAAATAGGTGGTAAAAATCTTTAGAGTAAGAAAAACTGTCATAATTTCTCATAGTTTTGCAGTACTGCCATTTTAAGTTTTCCAGCACAGTCCTGACATAAAGCATTCATGTATACTTTGATCTTTTAAATTTAGTTTCTCCACCCCATCCAAATTTAAACAAACAATGGCTTTTCAGCTAAAATCAGAGGAAACCTCTTGACCATATAAAGTCCTGTCTTTTTACAAACACCTTTGAAGGGTAGGAGAAAAAATATATCACAGAAATAGCCCTTCTTGAGCATGACATAATTACTTTGGCAAAACTGGTCTCCTTTTGACAGAGTAAGGATCACTTCAAGAAAAATCACATGCTCTGAAGTTGCAATAACTTTAGTACCAGTTTTTCCACTGCATTTTCCACTATGTGGCTGATGAGCAACTAAGAAAGGACTGTACATGTAAAGAACAGAGGTTTTGTTATTTCCCAAGTCACTTCACCCACCTACTTTGCAGGAGATAACTGAGAAGCTGGCCCCATCATTCCTCCAAGGTTACTCTGATGGAGGTCACTTGCAGAAGGCTATTAAATGCCAGTGCCTTTCCTGAAGAGTATCAAAGTGCAGGCATAAAAAATTTATGTGCACTTGGCTGTTTTAAGTGGGTATATGCCTACCCAGGGAAAACTGAAGGGCATTTTTAATGCTGGATTAACGCCCTGAACACAGTTAAAAGTTCCCTTTTCCCCCCATAGCTGCTATGGTTCTCTTTGACTTCAGAGGCTAGAAAGGGGGCCTTGGTGGTCTGCCACTGCACTTGTATGACAATAGGCAAAGGAGCAGAACAAGTAAGAGATGGGGAAAAGCTCCAAGAGATTGAAAATTCCATTACAGACAGCTTAGATGTTTCAACTCAAGTATCTACATGTTCCATAAGTGGGGAGGGAGGGGAATAGCAGTATTATTAATGTAGAACAGAATCTGTTGTAGACAAAGTTAACATGATATATATACAAGCACCTCAGTCACACATAGCTTAGAGCAAAATAAGGTAATCTAAAGTGTGTGGAAAACATCAGTAACTTCTGGTGTAAAAATAAGAAAAAAAACCTGCCTAAGTAGCATTTAGTTTTACATAAAGACTGTTTTATAAATGATAATTCCTATGAACAAATAGCCTGAGGTTCTAAAACAAGCTACATGAGCAAATAGATACCACTGCATTGAGTCTGGCTGGGATGGAGTTAGTTTTCTTCACAGCAGCTTGCATGGTGCTGTGTTTTGTGTTTGTGACTAAAACTGCACTGGGAGCAAACCAGTGTTTTGGTTATTGCCCAGCAGTACCTGCACTGGACCAACACTTTCTCCTCTTCCCCCACTCTGCCCCTCAGCAAGTACACCAAGGAAGAAGCTGGGAAGGGACACAGCCAGGACAGCTGGCCCAAGCTGAGCACAGGGATGTCACATGCCATATGACCTCCTGTTGCCTCTCTGGCAACAGAAACTGAGGGAAGGTGGTTTTGGAGTAGGCAGCCATTGCTTGGGGACCAGCTGGGTATCAGTCACCTCGTGAGAGGTGGTGAGTGCCTTTGCATCACTTTTTTCTTCCTCTTTTCTTCACTTGTTGAACTGTCTTCATCTCAACATGAGCTGTCTCACTTTTGTTCTCCACATTCTCTCTCGCATACTGCTGGGAGAGGAAGGGAGCTGAGGGGAGAGTGGGCAGCAGCTGTGTGGTGCTCAGCTGCTAGCAGGGGTGAACCCACCACAGCCATTAATACACTGCACTGTGTTTAAAAAGTGAAGGCAGTTTAGTTTTAAAGATCACTGTGCCCGTACTCAAAGCCTGGCTTAGTGATTCATTGCAAAGTGTCATTACAAAAAAGACCTTTTAAATTTTGTGAAACTTCTCCAGATCCTTTATACTTCAGAACAGCAGTTTTTGTCTTTTCTCAAAAAGTGGGAAAAGACCTTATGTTTTTTTAAAAAATACTCCAAGTAACCCCCATTTTTTGCTTACTAAGTTTAAATGCCCCTATTATATATTTATCAAGAAAAAATGGGGTGTGATTTTTTGGGAGGGGGTTGGGGTGGCAGAGAACAGGATTCTCTCCATGTGTTTTTTTGGTGGGGTTTCGTTTGTATGTTGTTGTGTGTTTTTTTTAAATCAGCCAAGAAAGTCCTGAGTATAGAAGATAGTCAAATCACCTTAATTTCACCAACAGCATGAGAAGGAAAAGCCCCTTTACACAGGAGGAAATTAAATGTAAAAAAAAGTTGATGAAATTAAGTGAAATCAGCATTGCTGTTTCCATGGCAATGATAAAAGTGCTATACAAATATGCAAACTGCAATATGAGTGCATATGCTATTTTCCCTACAAATATCAAAACGCCATGGGACAGATCATTGGATACAACAATATTCGTATAATCTGTGAGATGACAACTTAAATGGACAGTTTCATGCTTGTCCAGTCTCCAGCAGAACTGAGGTAAATGAAGGGAGCATCCACTATCAACACTGCCAGTTCTGGCAGCCAGTGCTAAAGACACTTCCATCACCTGGAGGCTGACAACATGGAGGGAATGCTGATCAAGAGGCTATGATGTCCTTACTTATTAAAATAGTTATATCAGGCTGACACTTGCTAACTTCAGCTTGGAAAAAGACTTTTCTCCATCAGAATAAAGACAGCCTTTTTTGCTAGTATTAACTTAGCTATCTGAGATTGAGTGGCAGTGCACACGTAAACAGCAGAGCCTAAAAGCCTTTTTATCCAACAGTTCTTATGTTTAGCTGGGGGGGAAGGGGAAGAAGGGGGAAAGGAGAAAATCAAAAAGTTTCATCCAAAAATTACAGCTACTTAGCCATTAAAATTTTACTTCAACTTCACTATCTACAAAACAGGAAAGATGACTACCTATTCTGTGTCTTACTTTACTCCTGAAAACACATCTATTAAAAAAGTAAGGGTAATTTTAAGGTAGAAAATTAGTGTAAGTTGCTCTAGATTTGATTAATACTTCTCACATAAACAGCTCTAACTGGACCCATACATAGCATTTCACTGTTAGGAGAAAAGGAAGAAAGTGTTTTGTTTTTCTGCTGAACCCAGGATACACTTTGCAATCAAAAGGTATTAGAAAGCTGTTGCACTACCCCAGAAAGTAGTTGCCCACCCCTTTAACATCTTAAGGCCCTGAGAATAAAACTTCACTTCCTTCAATCTTTTTTATGCACAGCTAGCAGTACGCAGGGTACTCACAAAAGATGAGTTCCCCAGAAACCCCTGTTTGAAAAGGTTAGTAATACAATTCTGAAAGTAATACAACTCATATCTCCCAGTCTTTGGAAATAGTCTGGGCTTCTGCCACGTGAAGGAAAGACAGCTGAGCAGCTTGGTTTTTTGGATAGATGAGCTTTCTAGTCACTGTCCAATTTCTGCAGTTCTTCTTCTCAACTTTGCAGTTAACTTATTTATTTCAACTGCATGGACACAATACTGGACAACTCTGCTCAATCCACTGCCAGCCCTCTTACCTGCTAAAAGCTAAGCCTCCCATTGGAACAATGGAAACAATTCAGCTGTGATGACACTACGTTGCATGGCATTTAATATCTTCAAAAGTGTGTGTCCTGTTACTAAACTCAACAGGTTCAATCACCATTTTATATACAAACAACTGATAAAAGTTGATCTGTACCTTAAAGTGCCTTCTGATGGGTCCTGCATTTTCAAGGTGTCCTCTAATTCGTCTGTGAGGGTAAGTATCACTTGGTTTTGAAGAATAGTAAGAATTCTAGTAGAGAAACAGAGTTATAGGTTAAGGTTACTAAATTATTCAAGAGAAAAATAAAAAATGTTCAGGTCATCCTAACAAATATTGCAACATTTTCAGTCTTGTAGCATTTGACACAATGACACAGTTTAAAGGAACAGAGTACCAGGAGCAAGGGGCCTGCAGTGCAGGCTGGCTGAAGGGATGGCAGAGGCACACCCTGTTAGTGTGCACACCTCCACAGCAACCAAACAACTGTGTAGCATGTTACACTGGTACTTAGAAAATTCTACTTTTAACTCTATGTTTCAGGAGAGCATCTGAGGATTACCTGCCCACCACAGAAACACAGACAATTTCAAAAGCAAGTCACACAGACAATTGGTATTGAAATTGTTGTGTCAACACCCTGAACAGCTGCAGTCAAACAGCCATGGTTGCCTAAAACAGAGCACTCCAGCCACTGACCTACCTGTGCATTTTGGCCCTTTTCCAACTTTCCCTATGACAGCTACCTCTAGAAGATGTCATCCTCTTCCATCATTACATAGGATCATAAATATTTACAGAATCCTTGGCATATACTGGCATGTACTACATTAAAGTCACCTAATACAGACAGAACAGACTTACTGATGAACCCTTATCAATCAAATTATTTTTTTTGTTTATGTTCCATTCTTGAATAATCACAGACGCATTCCAATGCTGTTGAACTCCATTTTCTCAAAGGAAATTTTAACAGCTTCAAATATATTTTAAAAAGAACCTAAGAAGAGAATTGTCCTGAAGTATTTAATATATTCTAACATCTAATAAGAAATGCAAATGCATATTTTGCTGTTCACAGAACTTTTTTCACTAGTAAACTACCAAAACTCTCCAGGAACACTGTTACTAATTGAAGGTGTGGTGTGTGTGTGTATAAACATAATAGAATGGTGTCAGAATCCAAGTTAACTTTTAACCAGAATTTAAACTTTATTTTTTTTCTTTGCTGTTTTAGACTATATTATTATCTACAACTCAACTATTTAGCTTCTTACAATGCCTTGACAAGAAGAGATTCAGATAACAAAAAAAGAGAGGAAGAAAGACTTTATGGAGTGAGTTCAAAGTAATCAAAGTGGCTTTTCTGAGAAAAAGGTATGGAAACTTAAAATTAAAGAGGAAAAACCATGTCAGGAAACTTGCAGCTCCCTTCTTATTCTAAGAATATGAAGACACTCCACAAAAATCAAATTAGTTTCTTCCACGCAACACAAGCTGGAAGCTCCCAGTTGAAGTACACTCTTCCTTAAAGCTGGGAATTCATCAAGATGAAAAAAAGTATTCAAGAAAATTCCTTGTTACAGTTAGAAATAAACCTCTAGGAATTAAAACAAAGCTTGCTTTAATTAACTGTGGATATAGCCTTTCCCATTCTCACCTTCCTCAAGACTAAAGTACACTCATGGAAACACGAACATTAGAATAACTTGATACAAAGATATAGCAACCTACTTCTCAGAAACTTCCTAAACCAGAGGTTTTAAATTAAAAAAAAAAAAAAATATTTGTTCTGATTTTCTACTTCCCTCTTTAGCTATCCTCCTTTTGTCAGTAGAGTACAAGGCTAGATGGACACTTGTTACAATAAAGGTTAGACAATGTCAAGGTTTGAGAACCCCAAAATCTAATTCCCTAGTCCAAAGCCCCTCCCACATCTCAACCCAGTGTGAGATGGTTTCCAGACAATACACGAGACTCAAATGGGGGAAAGGGAATATATTACAATGACTGTACAAATAAATACTACAATACATTATATACAGTCTTAATTATCTCTACCATGACATAAGTATTTACAATGGATCAAATCTCTTCTCCCCTCCAAATAAAAGACCAGGAGGGAAGAAAGAAAAGATCCCTTCCTACTCTCAGAGCAGCAGTGTCTCTAAGGCAGCAGGTTCTCTCTCTCTCTCTTCCATGCAGCAGCTGGAGCTGGATCTTTGCCAGTACACACAAGGGGGTATCCAAGCCCTCGTGGCCCATCATCTAAAGCAAGGGTCTTCTCTTCCGTGGGCTGTGTTTCCCAGGACAAGGGCGCTATCACCACGTCATATCACGAAGCTCAGGGGTCTTCGTGATGGTCCTTATCTTCAGGGGATACAAGTCCCTTTGCAGAGCTCTGTGCTCTGTCTCAAGCAGCAGGGGGGCCAAGGTCACCCCCTCCGCATTCCTTCTCGGAGCTCTTTAGCTCCTTTCTGCAGTGCTGTAGCACTTAAAGACTCTTTCAAGTAAGAGTCCATCATCATCCTCCTTTCTCGGAGGTCTCCAAGGAGTTTGGGGTTTTAGTTTCAGTTCTTACCCAAACTTTCTCTGTAGAACTCAGTTCTCTCTCTGCTGCCGGCTCTCTCTCTCGGCTCTCTCAGACAACTCTTGTGTCTCCCTTGGCTGCATCTTCTGTTTGCTGCTTCTTCAGTTCTTATCTGTTGGCTCTTTGCCACTGTCCTCTGTCCGCTGCTGCCTCTACTGCTGCTCTGTTTGCCCACTCACGGTGGAGAAAACTCCTTCAGCTTTCTAGCTACAGGCACTTAGCTCAGTTTAACACTGTTCCAAGTCCCTGCAGCCCCCCCCCAGCTGGGGCTGGGGGGCCCAGCCCCCAGTGGGGCTGCTGCTGCTTCTCCTCATGGCTTTACAACACGGCTACTTCTTGAACAACAACTACAACTACCTTCTCTTCCATTCTGCTTGTGATGTGTTTATATTTTGCAGAAGCGCTCATTGGGTAAAACCTCAAAACTTCAAGGGTCACCACCCCCTGGGGTTTTACCATTTTATAACTTCAGGGGGAAAACTGTTTCCCCACCACCACAGACAGACAATTGTACCTTCAAGACATAACCAGCCTCTGCATGGCTGACCATGAAGTCATTCCATCTTTAGGATGCCTTGCATTTGTAATGGCCATGCTTACACAGCTACTGTTGTTCCAAAGGGAACAATTCCTTACTGCAGTGCAGGACTTCCTAAAGACTGCATGTTTGCAGTTCACTATTAAATAGAAAATACAATCTTCCTGAATATTCAGCACATTTAACAATAATTTATTGTCTATTTGAAATTAACCTCCTTTTTATTGCAATACTGTTTTACTCTGGTGGGTTGATTTTGTTGGGATGCCACGTGCCCACCAAGCAAGTCTATCATCCCCCTCCTCAGCAGGGCAGGGAAGGAGAAAAAAACATTTAAAAAAACTCATGGGTCAAGAAGGCAGTTCAATAAAGCAAAATCAAAGTCTGCAAGCAGAAGCAAAGGGAAACAATAGATTTACTCTCTACTTCCCATCAGCAGGCAACAACCATCCACTTCCCAGGAAGTAGGGCTTCAGTACCCACAGTGGTTGCTCCACAGGACAAATGTCATAATAATCAATTCCTCCCCATATATCCTTCCTTTCCCTGAGCTTGTATTGCTGAGCAGATGTCATATGGTCAGTTTGGGTCAGCTGTCCTGGCCTATGCCCACAAGATCTTGCCCACCCCCAGCCTAGTGGGTGAGGGGGGATGTGGGAGAGGCACTCTTGATGTTGTGGAGCACTGCCCACCAGTAACCAAAACTCTGCTGTGTTACCAACACCCTCCTGGTTACCAATGCAAACCACAGCACTGTGAGGGCTGCTGAGGGAAGAATTAACTCCATCTCAGTCAGACCCAATACAATTACTTAATGAGCAGTTACTACTTGTGTTGGGAAGCTTTAATCTTAGTCTGGAGTAAGTAATATTTTTTTACCATTAAAATCTTGCATTCCCTTACACTGAAAGAACCATATAGCAAGACAGCTACATTCCAGAAATGATTACATAAAAGCTACTTTTGATGGATCTCAGACAAGTTTCATGGGCTTCTGGAACCCTGTCCATAGGGTGGTATTAGTTAACAGTGTATAAAGAATGACAATTTCTGTTAATCTCCTCTTTATTTTGCAGCCATCAGAAAGAAAACGTTTTAGAATTATACTACACACATTAATAAAGCTTTTCTAGTCTCACCAGTTCCCCAAGTTGGACAAGCACAAGCAATTGGAAATTACTACATTTATTTAGAAGGAATTTTCCAAACCAGACAAGTTCAGTTCTACTGAACGTAATAGAACTGTCTTGACCATTTCAGTATTAAAGTACACCATGGAAAGATAGCCTAAGAAAGACTAATTGTCCAAAACTAGGTTTCATATATGCAATATCAACGAACATATGATATTCCATTCTTTAACATTCCATCATCAGGAACATTATTTCAGACACTTCTCATTATGTGATTTGCTCCTCATTTTTATTTAAAATAAGTGCTTTCCAGAACTTTTGTCATAATGAGGAGAAACACTGTTTCAGTAACAATGCCACCTACACAAGATTCACACCTTCCCTTCCAACCACTGACAACTAGAATGCAGTAGAGTACTCTTTTTCTCAAGCTATTCAATATTACCTCAGATTACCTGCTCCATAACAAGGCTTTCTATTTTACCATGCAGATGTTACACCATTACGTGGAAGAAATATGATACTAGATACATATTTCTTTTACAGAAAGAGAAACAGTGGTAGCAAAGTATTTTTAGCTCACTTGTATTAATTTCTGCTCCAACAAATACCTGAGGAAGTACTCTTGCACTAGGGCTGTGAAATTATGAGTATTTTTATTGTTGAGCGCAGATGGAAGATAATGAAGCCTCACTTGAAATTTAAAAGGGTAAGACAGAGACTGTTAAATTTACATCAGCACAGACAATTCAGCAAAAAAAAAAAATGAATTATACATCAACAGTGCAGAAGCTACTATTTCTATATTTAGACTTACCAGATGAGGTCTCCCAATAAATTTCCTGAAAGCTGGCTTAATGAACCTCATAGGCTTTTGGAAGCCATCAAGTTGAGAGGTTTGTAACTTTGAAAGACTGCAGCTTTGCTGGTTCCTGATGCGTATGAGAGAGAGAGGGAAAGAGAAAGAACAGTAAACATGTTAAGCCATGGCACGTCAACACCCTGTATTTTAAATTAGCTTATTCTGGCAACTGTATCACAAATGCAGAGTGGCAGTTTTTAAGTAATTTTTTTCCTAGGATATTCGACAAATTACTAGTCTAGGTTCAAATTTCATAGAATTATATAGCAATGTGCATTCTTTTATGCAATGACAAATTAGCAGAGGTGCTCTGCTTCCTGAAATTCTGGCTATGAAAGTCAGGTTTCCCCCGGCCCAGCCCTCTCGGCGGGTCACTGCTGCCCTCCACTGGTGGAAACGCTTTTTGCACTTCAGCATCTTCACACACTAAAGTTGTAAAGTTGTAGAGAACTTGCCATTTCATGACATCCCCAATACGACAGAAGCTCAGATAAATTGCTACATACTCGTTTCATCCTCAGCAAGCAGCTTATTCTGGATTTGAACTTTTGCTTGCTTGTTTTTATGGCACTTCGTTGTTCTGGTTTTTTTTCCTTTTTTACTGAGCATACTACTAGTACAGATGCATCTGTAAGTGTCTAAATAAAACATTTACCATGAAAAGTAACCCCAGAAGTCAAAACTCATATTTTATGAAACAAAAAAAAAAAAATAGTTTACCTAGCTGGAAAATAAATTAATAAGGAAAAAATAGAGGCACACTGCACAAACTCATAGGCATCATCAGTATCTCACATGAACTGTTAAACCTCCTCAACCTCAGGAAAATCCTATGATGCCTTTACTGCCCTCAGCCTACATTACCCTGACAGCCACACTTAGTAGAGAAATGTGCACTGCTCACTTTGAGCACACAGACAAAAGATAAGCAGGAGGGTAACCGTGGAAGTGGCAAAAAAAGAGAAGAAAAAAAAAAGCCTTCCCAGAAAACTAGGCCAAACATACACTAAAGATACAGCCCCAGGTATGTAAAAGGCTACATGAAAACAAGTCCAGGCATTTTTTTCCTTCACTTGCTAACCTTAACTTTTTTTGTCTAAAGAATCTCAAATACAAGAAATTACTTCTGCACCTTCGCAAGTCAGTTTTTCCAAATGTGTGTATTGCCATTAGTTGCCTATAGACTGCATTAAAAATTAACAAAGAGCAGCACATCTGCAAGTCATGACTACAGTGTGGATACATTTCATTATTGTGGCAATGCTTTAATCAACATTTCTGCTAACACAAGTCCCTTTCTCCAATCAAATATCACAATATCAGAAGTGGAACAGGATGACTGAGGTTAGCAAACACCTCTGGGGCAAACACCTTTAACAAAGCTGCTGGAGGCATTCATAGCAGTAAAATGCTATTCCAGAATTCCAACTGTTCAAATTCTCCAGGAATCAGAAAAATTCCAATTATTTGTTGATATTCCACATTCCACCAGGGCAACACAATAATGTATTCATCCTAGAATGCTTTTATGAAACTACAAAATACCAGGAGAATGTTGCTATATGGCACATCGAGGAGTTTAAAAATAGTTAACCATCTTTAATTTCCTCCCCTCTTCCCATTTAGTGCTACAGTTTGGGCTTGCTTTTCCTTTTTTCCTCAATGCAGTTTAACATCTTTCAAGGTAACACTTCATTACAGAGTAGTTTGCAATGTACATCTGTTGAATTTCAGTCCCACTCAAACTTTTTAAGGCCAAACTACAGAAAAGAATCACAAGTGTGAACATAACTGTGTAAGGGTTCAAAAATGAACACACAAGGGAACTATAGGCTTGAGTCAACAAAATTAGTTGCTAATTACCTTGGAGTTACACCATCTACATGAAAGACTCTCTCATCTTCATTCTTCAATCTCTCTTTTCTTCTCCTTTCTATATCATACCGTAGATCATTTGGATCTTCTAACACTCTTACAACGTTCTAGTTAAAAGGAAAGGTGGAAGCCAAGTTACCTGGTATGAACTAAAAACAGACCTGATTCTGTCCCTCAGGGGCAGCACCCTGTATGTAACTTTGTTAACACAGATCAACTGTCTGCACCTAGGATCCACATCAACCCAGGGATCCAAAGTCTAAAACACTAACAGCTAGTCCTAAACAATTACCCTTTCTTGTGCTATATATGCCTTTTTACAAGTTTCCAAGCAACAGTGAATGGAGCACTGGAATTCTGCATGGAGTTTCCAAGGCATAAACATTCACATAAATTTCGGTAAATCTTAAGAAGTTTTACTATCCTGAATTAAGCTGGATGTCCACACACTTGTACTACAGAAAAGAAAGACGAAGACAGAAAATCTTATGACCCCAGATGAAAGCATGGGATAAAACAGCATTCTGAGGAACTATGTGGATGCTGGGTCATTCTAACAGTAGGGTGGAAGAAACATTAAGGCTTTTTGTAATCTTAGAGGGAAAGCAAGAACCACATGTCAGTCACAGACTTAGTATTTACACTGTTTAAGATCAGACAGCAGTTCAAGCAGCAGGAATAGCCACACTCCAGCTACTCTGGAGAACACATCTGCATTTTATTCGTCAGTGAACACGGTGCACTTGCACCACTGTGACATATGTAAACATGCTCAGGTGTGCACTTTTCTCAAAACACTCAGAATTACTGGTGGTCTTCAAAGCATGTAAAAATTATGTACCAATAAAAATGTTGTTTACACATATAACATTTGAACTTACTGTTTGCCAAAAAAGTTAAGCTATCAAGATACCTGGGGAGATTCAGATGGCACAGCTCGTTTGTTCTGAAGTTCTGCTAGAGACATGTCAATTCTCCTGGAACACAAAAATATTACATAAAAAAATGCCATCACTATAAAAGCAAAAGCATCACTGACCAACTACAGAATGCTTTAAAGAATATGGGCAGGTGGGTTAGTCAGGGAATAGAAACACTTCACATTGTGTAAAGTCTGCTGAAGATTAATTACTGAATGTAAATAAATTAAGACAGAAAGTTCAATCATTACCTATGAATTTCTGGATCCAAATGTATTTTCACTTCATTTGTATTTGTACTTGGTTTATCCTGAATTTTTGAGAACCGTTCATGCAGAGTTATGTCAGAAGATGCAAAATAATTTGCTGTGAATAGATATTAAATACAAGAATGTTATTCGTTGTATTTGAAATGCACAGTGGGAAAATCTATCTTTTAAAAGATTAATTCTTAAGGATACCATGACAACTTTACTGAAATGAAATTTCAAACTATTTCCACTTTCAGTTTAACATTCACAAATGAAAGATCAGGCCAGCCCTACTAAGACATTCTTCTTATTTAGTAAGATTAAACTCAATAGAAAGTTAACTAATCAGCAGCTCTATGATGGTACTACTCAAATTACTAGAATCTATAACATTCAACACTGAACACCATGCAGCAATCTGAACACTAATCTGAAAAATTAAAGAAACCACATATAACTAGAAAATTGTGGCTACAACAAAACTTCTTTTTTTTTCTTGTTTCCTAAATCAGCAGGTTACTCTCATGTAGTAGTATAAAATCTTTTTGACCCTAACACTCTACAATAATGCCTCAGTTAAGGTCTGAGACCTTCTTACAGCCATTCTCCACCCAGCTACTTTAAATCCTCAACCTACATTTTCCTTACACAACAGAATGAAGCCAAAGGCAAATGCCTGAATTTACAAGACATCACATCCAAACCATTAGATTTGTGTTTAATAATCATAAACACATACATATATTCCAAATACTACAGCCACCTTTAACTTGATGAATAATTGTGATTATTTCCTGAGTAAATTCTTTTGATGGGTCCTTTTCGACATTTTGTGTTATAGATTCCATGTGCTCAAACACAGGATGAAAATTCTCATTTTTTCTGCCAACAGCAGCCAGATCATGGGATATCTGTCTCTCTGTAGTATGACTGGAAGCAGTCCTAGAACAAAAAGTTATAGTGAATTATTTTAAAGTTAATATCTACATCTGAAAACTTGAAATAGACAAGTAGAACAAAACAATTGATTAAGAAGTTCATTTTAGGAATAAATGAGATGAAACAAAAAAAAACTCATTTTGTTCTTTTTTTTTAATTAAAAAACTCATAAGGAAGAAAATTTCTTAATAAAATACTTCACTCTCAGGAATCTTTGTTTCCGTGAAGTACGAAGTACAAAATTTGTGAATTTTAAACTTAATTCAACTAGATTATCAAATGTAGGCAAATGAAGATCCTGACATATCTCTTTAGTATAATTCTGGAAGGTAATTATGCCCATGTCTTTGTTTATAAGGAGCTCTAGGCAATTTTTCAAGAACAGTTTAGAGATAAAAAAAATCTCACATCTTTGGGAACTGAATCATCACTTGAACCCAGTGAAACAGCAGCAAAACTGCTCCAGGAGCAGTGTGTGAATTTAAGAACATGTTTAGCATCTTTTTGTAAATTTTTACTCATTCTAAATGAGTTTACACCCCAAATGGTTGCCCTGCTGCTTAAACATTATTTTGACAAGAAAGCCAACACTTCAAAAATCCTGCTGTTCTTGTTGCAAGGAAAATGCTTGTCATTCCAAAAGATATGTTGAGGACTCAGAGTCCATGTAAAAGCTTTTAGGATGAAGACTGTTAATTGTGCATTCTGCAAAGTGATTTTGTGCCTGCCCATCCTGTATAAGCAGCATATAAGACTAGAGTTCCATACAAAAATTGTATTAGAAATAGCCTCTAGCAGGTGCCAGAAATCATCTATCTGCCCCCAGTAAACTGGAAATAAATGCATGTAAGAGGGAATCCAGGCAACCTCAGTTGTAGATTATTTGAATTATCTACCTGCTCCCCAGCTTTATAAGAAACTATTCTTCTTGGCTCAGTCATTTCAAGTCGGGTGTCTCTTAAATGCCTAAAGTAGGCAGCATGAACGTTCCCTTTCATCAGCTTCCGTAAATCTGGCGTTCTTATCTTTAAAAAATAAAATACTTAGGACTTTTGGCTGCAGAAGCAAACCTTCCACACATAAAATTAACTGTAATCAATGTAGTAGTTTCTTTAGTCTGCAAACAATTACCATGTCCATTGTTCGTCAAAAACAGCAGCAAGAGGCTCGACACAGGAATTGTCCTGTGGGCTTCCAACAAAACCCAACAACAATCTTCCTCATCGTCCAGGAAGTTAAATGCTTGTCCTGGCCTGAGGGTGGGAGTGGGCAATACTCTATTTTCCTTCCCTCAGTCTTTAATATTAGCCCCATATGTGCAGTAACTTGTCTTTGTAACCCTCCACTGTATTACATATTTCTGAAATAGTGGGAAAAATCAGTACAGATGTTTTATTTGGGACAAGAGGCAGAATACTTTTAAAATGAAGGTTGATCATTTTGGAAAGGAAGGTAATTTCTTCCAAAAGCAATTACTATCAATGTAAGATGTTCTGGTCTGCAATAGCAAGGCAACAAATCAGAAAAAACCTGCAAAAAATCTAACAAAACCAAGCTGCTTACTCTCTACCACATATTCATCACCTAAAGTCTCATAGTATTACTTCTTTTTTTTCCATTTCAGCTAGCATTGGGAATGCTAAATGCAACCACAAGTATTACACGGAAGATAGACAGAAGCAGACTCTACTGCTTTTCAGTTCTGATGCCTCAACAGGTTGCCACTTATTTTTCTGAAAAAGTGACAACTCAGGGATCTCTCATTTTTGACAGCTTTACTGACCTTGAGATCTTGAACATCTGAATATGTGCTTGAGATTTATGCCATTTAAAGATTATCTGACTTTCAGAAAAACTTTTCACTCAGTCAAAAAAATGCCATCATATTTCAGAACAAAACATAGGACTAGGCTTTTCTGCCTTTGGCATTTTGTTTGGGGTTTTGTTTTTAAATAAAAGTAGCATATTTACTGATCATAACCAACTTGTAACTACAGGTTTGTATCAGGCATATCTGCTCTTTCCACTTCGTACACCTCCATGAAATGAAGTAGAGAATTTTTGTTGTTTGGTTTTTGTTTGTTGGTTGGTTTTGTTTGTCTTTAACAGAGGTTTAATAGGTAACTTTTCAGTCTGAGCAAGTTACCATTTTAAAAGAAATAAAACTAAAAAAGTACAGTCATACTTTGTCCTGTTACCTCCTAAAGAAACCATGCTTTCCTCTAATACCCATAAACCATAAAGAGAGCAGAAGAAAGAAGAGGTGAGGGGAAAACCAATACCTGTACTTGGTCACTGTTTTCTTCAGATCCACTTTGATTGTGAGATGTTCCCTCATACAGTTGACATCTGACACTTTCACATCTGAAACAGTATGACTCGAATCACACTGGCTATTGGAGGAATCTACGTTTTTCCTTAATTCCCCGTCCTTCCTTACTCTTTCATTCGGTTTGTTTTTAAAAGATCTCGGCTCAACATCCGTTTTGGAAGAGTTAACACAAGCATCACAGCCCTTCTTCGAGCTATATTTAACAGGTACTTCGACGTGTCCTTCCTCAGTCCGCCTCGCTCTTCCACCACTAAAGTACTCTGACTCTTTGCTATTCCGGGCACCCTTAGAAGAACTGTATTTCTGGTCCTCCTGCTTCACGTACTTCTGAGCTCTATCGCCTGGAAAAGGCTTTTCCCCCTCCGGATGCCTGCGCCGGTTGTGATTGTACTCATAGGCTATCTTTGGGACAGAACCCCCCACGTACTCCCTTTCAGCCGACCGGTGGGACTGGGCACCCGGGTATCTTTGCTCCTCCTTTTCTTGGTAGGGTGGAAAAGAACGTTCTTGCTTCCACTTGGAATTTCTTGCTACGTCTCCACAGTCATACCTCTCCATTTCCTTAGCCCTTTTAGACGTGTGCCCATATTCTCTGTAATCGTGATCTTCAGGATACCTGTGTTGACATAAAGCAATTTACACTTGCACTAGAGAAGAAAGTGAGAACTTATACGTGCAGAATGTTGGACAGCAGAATGCGTGGCAAGTTAACCCAAAATCCCTCACGCCAAGGTACAGATGTGCAGGGGCTCTTAAGAGGGAAATATTATCCTCTCATACTACAGCCAGCAATACGATTTACTTAAAAGACAAATACTTCACTACTACCAGTCGCCCATAATTAAACTACAAAGTGGCCAACGTGTTTCAAGGTGGATATCTTCAACTATAATGAAAACAGACTTTCACTTGAGGCTTTACACCACAATACCCAGGGTTTAATTATTTTATTCCTATACCTCTTCTGTAAAGAGCTCCTTGCCGTGAATTCATCAGAAACTCTTCTGGGTGATTGACCATACTTCTCTTCATGTAACCTCTGGTGCCTCAAGTCATCTTCATGCCATTTTCTTTCAAGTTTACATGAAGACCCTAATGGTCTATGAAAAGGCTTCATTCCTTTTTCATTTCCAGTGACTTTGTAGTGATCAAACACATATCTGTCCTCCATTTTGTGTTGGTAAAATGGACGATCATGCTCTTTATAAGGTATTTCCGAGTATTTTGGCGGTAACTGGCATCTCCTATTGCTTTCAGTTCTTTCAGATGAATGTGTTCTGTAGGGCTTATGACTGTAAGCATCTTCCATGGGAATTCTTTTCAGGTTTGGTGAAGGTGACCTACGTTCATATATTCTCTGGTGGTTATTTCCATGAGGTGCAAACCTGGAATTGCTTTGTCCGTATTTTTCATCTTCTGTTCTCCAAGGCATAGGTTTCTTTGGGTCCTTACGAAAGCTTTTATATTCACAGTCATAATTAATATGAGCATGCCTTTGCCTATGATGCTCTGGACTCCTAAATGCTGGAGATAAGGACCTAGAGCAAAAATAAAATCCACTTTCAGTAGTCCATAAAATTGAATCATCTTCTTAATGAGAACATCTATTCCCTGAGGAAGTAGAGTTTAGTACACAATTTTAATCAACTTGTAAAAAAATTAAACTAAAGATATTCAAAGTGACATTTTCCTGGCTAAAGCAGCAAGCTTACTTTTACTCTGTTGAAAGATTTCATAGGAAAAATACCCACTCAAAATAGTAGTAAGTCAATCATTTTTGTCTCTTCAAAGTTTTTAATCTAAAACTTAAAATAATTTCACATATATGAAGTTTCCACTACATTGAAAACAACTGTTAAACGTATTTTCACACTTCTCAAGCATTTCCTTATCTTTTTCAGTGCCAAGAGAAAAAAAGAAGGAAAAACAGCATATTAAGAAATTTAAGAAGAGGAAAAATGCCTTTTCAGGTTTTCTTTACATGTCAAAACAACCCCCAAAGCTTACTGAAGACATTATAAAATATTCCATTTAAAATGTCATACAGGTAGGCTTTTTCCTACAGAAAAGACTGAATTTGAAGAAAATGCTTAGGTCTTTTTGAATAATTGTATGTACATGTTCACACACGTATACATATGCACTTCCACACTTACTGCAGCTTTTGCTATTAAAGATTCAATTGCATCACTATGCTTTGCATTTTCACCTACACTTACAAAAACAAGGGCAACCTGTTAGGTTTTAGCCAAAACCTGCTTAAATAAAGAAAAAGCAGCACAAGCCATTAGCAAGAACCAGAAAGCAATCCCAGACATAACAGTTCTGCCTGTATTCAAGCATTCACTGCACTCTCTCAACACACTCTTTAATGAAAACATCAAAAAATGCAAGCAGGAAAAAAAAAATATCAAGGCAGTCACTTCCTCTGTACACCTCTTGCAAATGTACAGTTTGGCAGAACTGTTTGCTCCATTTCTGCAACTGAGTTCAGATTCAGAACCACAGATCTTCCTAAAAACATAATGGCTGACTTCCAATAGCACCCGTACTGCGGCTGCTGTCCCATGTTGGTCTGGTTATGGCTTGCATTTTAATGAGAGCTGGGGCATTCCTCCCTGCTCTTACTCAAAGGACATATTCACAACTATCAATCTAGTAAAGACATGGATAGGGTTTCTCTTTTTAAAAAGAAAGAAACTAATTAAAAAACCCACACATTTTTCTGTGTTATCCAAACTCTCCTTGTCTTGTTCATCACAACTTAGACTGTTCCTAAAACCAGCAGAAAAGGACTTCTGAGCTCTCAAAAGCTTAAATTGTATTCGAGCCTCCTAGTTTTAGCACCTTGAATTTGCACTGCAAGCCTTAAAAATTAGGCAGGTAACTAACAGCACGAAGTAAGCTGGATGTTATTCTCGTGACAACATCAGTAACACATGCTACTAGGCTAATGTCCAAGGAGAAGGGCACTGACTCCCATGTTTCCAGTTTGTGTTATGCTGCAAGGTATGTTTGACTCTGCTAAAAATCAGTTTGCAGTTGAGCCCCCAAACCTCAGAAAGCTCAAAGTGTTGGACCAAGAAGTTTTTTAAAAAAAAAAAAAAACTAATAATTTTTTTTAGCAGTCCCTCCCTGTAAACCAAGAGCAAGTTACAGACATTTAAATGCACAAGGTAGTGCTTGAGTAAAAATAACCTTAAATAGTTTGGTGTTTTGATTTTGTGCTTAACGTAGTTCTAAATCCCAAAATATGGAAGGTGAATGAGGTTCTTGGCAGACTGCAAAAACTTAACACCTCCAGTTTAAAAAAAATCATCATAATGAAACTGTGAGCTGGGAAAAAATTGCAGAGGGTGTTCAGCTTGGAAAATAAATTACAATTTACAAAATATACTTTACAAATTGCAATTCAGCATGGAATATTCAGGTCCTACTTACAAATCCTACATTTCAGAACACAAGTTATGGGTATTTACCTTGGTTTCCACCGTGGTGATCTTGATCTAGATCTTGTCATCTTCTCTCACGTGCTTATGAGTTTCTTGAAGCTGTAAAAATGATATCATTTACTAGTCTGATTACAAATTGCACCAGGAACAGTTGTTTTTAACAAGCACAGTATTAGATTCTTCAAAGTTTGGGTGAGACATACTTTTATGATGTTTTACTTAAAAGGTAAACCTCTAATACCCATTTTAAGGCAAGTAGCTTTCTTTTCCTAATTGCTTATTTTACTTGCTTTATAAAGATTTACATATTTTATCATTGTTCCATTTTTCTTGCCATCTATTCACCCTACTGTTAAATGTTAATAAACTCATAAGCAAGTTGCAGCAACTGAAAATTTGTTGTAGTTGTTAGTATGTGTTGAATGCTGTAGACAACAGAGGAGAAACACTTAAAAAATCAAATTTGTGAAAAAAAAAATGTTTTTGCATCAAGTTATATTCTGAATTCCATATATACTGAATTTCAAATTTGTAATATACACCAATATTTTTACATGGTTACAGACCTCTTGTAAGCTTTAACTGCTCCATCAAATCTTAACTGCTAGATCATCACATATTTCATCCAAATAAAACCAGATACAAAAGGTCACTTTTCATTTATAAACTTCACCTGCTAATAACCTACTACCTGGACACACATTTAAATATACTATGGATGCACTATGACAAAGTGTTGCTCCTGACTCCTGAAAGTAGCTCTGAGCATCCCTTCTCATAATAGCTACAGAAGAATGAGAAAAATATCAGTGTAATCTACCCTTTTAGGTCTTCTTTGCAAAAAGATATTAGGACCTTGGAAAACAAGTGATGAAAGTATATACCAACTCACCAGTAATGCAACTGGTGAAAAGAAACAAAATCATTATTCATTATTGAGCAAATACAAAGGATTAAAGCAGAGTGAAATTACTGGCTAACTGGTTAAAAACTGGAATTTGGACCACATACTCATGCCTTCCAATTGTCACAAGATGCTGTAAAGGGCAGAAATATAAATAGACAGAAAAGCAGGTCCATCAACAGCTCTAAAATTAATGAACAACCAATCACTGGAAAATGAAGGAAAACGCCCAGGTCAATGTCACTCTCTAAGTGCTCTGGTATTTGCTGTAATTATTTGCTCAGACACTCACGGAGACAGAAAACTAGTCTGAGCTGGCCAAGTATGGCCTTTTTGATACTCCCAGTGTTCAAATAATTTCTTTAACTAAATCTTTTACCTGAAAAACTGAAATTGAAAGGGGAGAAGCAAGCTTTAAGGCACTACCTGAAGTATTGTGCACCCATGTCTGAGCCAGTGCCTCACACATCTGCCCACCCCATCCCACTAGTTGGTCAAATAAAGTATCACTCCTTGCTATATTTGATTTTTTTAGTATGAATAGCTCATGGCTGAAAAAGCAGTATCTCAAGAGAAGAACATACAGTATACTTCTGATGCCTACCCCACAGGTCCATGTTAGACAAGTCACCTCCTATATTTCAGAATGATTCTAGAAAGTTCTCACTAAGTTGCACAATAAGCTAACCAGACCTTTATTTGCAAGACACCATTAGCTTAGTCCTGAAGAAAAACCTCCAGAATTTATTTTTCAAAAATCTCAAAACTCTCCTGTGCACCATGAGGGTATTTGCTCCACAATGAATCATTCCATGTGATAAAGCACAAAGTTGGAAGCGTCGCAAGGTATAGTGAAGCAAATAAAAATCCAATCCCAAAGTACCACAAGGACAAAATACAGTATTTGTTCCCTGGACAAAATACTTGTTCCCTGAACTTTGAATTATGAAGTTATCCCTGCCTCATAGATCCTAAAAGCATATATCTGAGGACTGTATAGCATGAATTAACTTCAGGTCCTTTACTTACTTGAACATCATGCTGACCAAAGTTAAATATGATGCTCCGATGCCAGTATTCATTAAATATTATTTTTCAAAGAAAAGTAATACTGTGACAAAAATGCTTGCCTGTTTTTCACTCATAAAAACACACCTTACAAAACAGAATAGTATTTCAGAAACCAAAAACCACACTCCTTGGTTAACACATTTCAAAACATGGTGTGTGTCCTGCAAGCTTCAAAGTTTCACTACTACCCTCTCTTCTAGTAAACTTTTAAAGGTGACAGTGTTTTATGTGCTGATTGAATTATTTCTTTATATCTTCCCTTCAGTTCTGAACTTTACTCTTCATTTTCAAGTGAATGAAAAGACAAAAGCACCATTAAACCCCACCCAACCATTGGTACAGAACCTGATCTGCCAGACTGATTGAGATAGAAACTGAACATACATACCGAGCAATTCCTTATTCTTTTGAGACTGGCTAAACAATTGTACCTAAAAGCGTGAGAAGTACTGTGACAGCATGTCCTAGATCTTGCCTTAGGATAAGGAGGACTGCTGTAATTTCCAATGAAGACACTCCTTCTGTTTAATGGAAAGAAGTGTTCATTTGTTTCAATGCACCTCCTCAAAAATGACCCACGCAGTATGATTTCCTCACAGAGAAACACCATACAAAGGCAGCAGACACTCGACCCCAACCAAGACTCCCCAAGTAACACCAGAATCACAAATTAATCTATACAGAATTTGTACACCCATTGCTAAATCCAGGTTTAAATCACCTCAACTAGACCAGCAATATGGTTCCATACCAAAAGCAAGCTTTTTGTAGGACAGTACTGGGTAGCAAGCCTGTCTATAGCAGAATTACTTGAATTAAGTAAAGGTCCTACGGTTTCTGAGTCAGCATCCAGATGCTTCTGAAAAGCCAGGTCATGTTGGACCAGAAATGCCAGGACCTGGCTGCTCTGGGCTCTGAATTTCTTCAAGACCTTCTGCTGTGCTTTGTGAGATGCTGTCACTATGAAAACATGAAGAACTATTTTTTTTAACTAAAAAGTATTATTAAGTTCATAGTGCTGCTTGTGTTTGCTGTGTTACAACAATAAGTGACTTATTGGAGGAGTTATCAGTAACTGTGCTTAGACAGTTTTTAAATATTAATGGGAATCCCACCTTTTAGTTTCTTTCCCTTGACTTTTGGAATTGATATCAGACAACTTCCCTCTCAGGAGAAATGGCCTCAAGCCTGCTGCCAGCTCTCTTTGATTCCATCCTTGAGAGATCAGTGCTTTGACAAGCACAAAATTCTTGTAGTATATATCTACTACAAACCTGAAAGGAGTATCTTGAGACAAGGAACTCAAAACCAACTATGAAATGTGCCAACTTGAACACATGTTCTTTCAGAAAGGCTATAAATTTTTACCAAGGTGCTCTCCTGAAAGAACAGTCTTCAACCTCCTTGACATTCTCCAGCAGAAACACAAGAAATCACAAGCGACTAAATGACTGCAGTCATCTAGCTGAACAGAGGGGAACTGGAGCTCCTCTTAATGTAAAGAGCCCCACATCAGCAAGCCTCAAAGAGCTAAAACCCTGCAGATACACCACAGACACAGTAGAAGCAGTTAACTCTCCTGTAAAAACTTATAAATGTACAGACTGCTTTACATGCCTTTTTGATGCCTTCTATCATCTACAACAGATCATGGAAGAAACTCTATTTAGGACACACAGAGGGCAGATCAATACCAACAGTGCTCATCACCAGGGAGCTGCTGTTCAATGCCATTTCACCTCCAGTGAAGGGAGATATCATTCCTCACCCCTCTGGGAGGGAATGCCCAGCCACCATTGCCACTGACTCGCAAACCCTTTAGAGGAAAGGGATAAGCAAGTCTCTCATAAGCTGGGTCCCACAGCTGACAGGAAGACAGACACTGACTCTTGCTGAAAAAACTACCCACCTCACTATTCTCTCACTTTGCCCAAATAGATAAGGAGCAGCTCCAAGCTTTCCATTGACTGTCTTCTAGGCAGGGATCAATCGGAAGCTGCAAGGGACACGCCAAAGTCTGTATTGCTGCAGTGTCTGTCAAGAAAGAAAAACCAGCAATTGATACTCAATATCAGGACAACCAAGTCTTTGACAGAAATACAGTTAAAACCCCAGCTGCAATCCAGACATAAAAAAAAAAAAAAAAGGAAATACCTTAAAGTCTGCAATTCAGAAAGCCACTTACACTGTCATTAAGTGAAAACCGTAGAACTGCCAACTTCTCCAGTAGGTAGGTTATAATACCTGATGCAAAGGCTGTCTCAGCAGTGCCCGCCCCAGACACTATCCAAGCAGAACACAAGCCTGGCATGTTCTTGCCTATTCAGCTTCCAAGCAAATCTTATAATCTCCAACAGCAAATGCCCAGGAAAGAGTGCAAAACCAGAGAAATACCTCCCAACCTACCAGTCTCAATGTTTCTCAACCTGCAACAGGACTTTTTAAAAGTCAAGGCCTCTCAGACTGGCTTCAGTACCATAACCACAGGCAGAGGTTTCCAGTGCTGTGCTAGGCCATGCATACACTCATTTCTCCGTGAGCTTTCCACTAAACACCTTTGATCTCAAAACCACAGCTCCCAAATGGCACCTGCATCCACCAACCCCAACCCTCCAGGGGCTGGAGAAAGGATGTCACCAGCTGTGCAGCACAAGCCTGGCCTGTGCTCCAACATCGCTGCACCAGCACCAGAGAGGTGCCTGGAGCCCAGTTACAGCTCTGCTGTAACTCAGTCATGGAGGTGACTCCCATCTCAAGGCACATCACCTGAGGGAAGGACATATGTGACAGGTTTGAAAACTATGAGCTAGAATAGCTGTTTAAGTCAAGGACACACACTCAGCTGAGGCAAATGAAATTCAGCTGAGGGATTTCTAAACCATTCCCTCTTTTAGACAACACAGCAAGCAGAAGATCAATGCAAGTGACTGAGATCCAAATTTCCATCCTCAGTTTTCTTATAGCTCTCCTATATTCAACAACTGCTCTTTTTGATTACAGATCCCTCCTCCTGGACTTTTATCACTCTCAGAACACCTTCCACATCTCTAAGGTTATGTTTTTAATCTCCACAATATTTTGTAGCAGGTCTGGTAGCACCACGCCCAGGCCACTGCTGTCTCACAGCCTAAATCCTCACCACCAACACTACCAAGGAGATGGTGCCTTTTTTTTTTTTTAAACCATTTTAATTTTTCCTTTTCAGTGCCATGCCATATTTATCAGATTTCCAGACCTGGCCCACAGCACCTCCCCAGACAGCTGTGGCAGAGCAGCTGGGAATGGTGTGCAACCATAGCAGGAGGCAGCACCCTGAGTCCACACTACTGCCCAATGTGTCACAACCCAAGGAGTGCAGCGAGCTCCAATGCTCCAGTTTGTCTGCCGAGACACCTGGCCTCCCCAGCACCAGAAGCATCCCTCCAACCTACCAAAACCACACCAGTCCTTCTCAGCTTTGTCATTTTTCTTTGGCACAAGCCAGGGAAGGCAGGCTTTATACAGCTTGTATCCTAGTGCCAAGGATTGTTAACAGACAACCAAGCCTCACATCAGCAAGGTAACTGTGCCATGCAGGGGCAGCATGTGGGAATCACTCTCTTCTACTTGCTACACAAAATGGATAAGAGATATAAAAATTACTGACAGCAGGATGAAGACCTCCGACAGAAAGTACAGGCTTAGCTGAAGCATACAGAACTTCCTGATGGACCATTAAACAAATTTTAAGTTATTCCTTGGAATACATGGAAAGTATTCCCCCGTGCCTGCATATTTGAGCAAAAGAATAAAAATAACTAAGTCTACTGAACGTGAAACTTCTCAGCATGTTCTCATTTAAAAGCAACCCGTTTAATGACACTAGTTAGCAAGCGATGCCTCACCTTTGCAGAAAAACAGATTACAATGCCAACTTGGAAGGACTAAGCAGGATAAATCTGTGTCACATAATAAGTGAGGTATTACACTCTCAAATAAACTTTTTTTTTTTTTTACACAAAGAAGGCACAACCCATACATACATTATTGAGCCATTCCTATAATGTGTTGAATTAGGGGCCTTTAACACCTGTCCACTACAGTGTCAAATGTCACAGCACCATCCCCAGCCACTTCTGCCTACCACTTTCTAAGGGGACACCAGAAGCATGTAATAGTCCCAGAGACAAACCACCACAACTTCCTGCCTACCGAAAGCTCTCCAACACATACAAACCACAATGAAAACCTTTGCTTTTTCACCTTAGGTCAAAAAACCACTGGGAAACTAAAATAAGACCCTTATTTTTTCAGAATCAGGGATGCCACACAGCAACATTATCAGGAGGCTGGGAAGCCCAGGCTGCCTTCTCCAGTCACATCAGAGAAATGCACCCTTGCTGGAAGACTCCCAACACGTTTCCTCCCTTCCCTGCAGACAGCGAGCGCCTGCTGCCACCTGAGAGGAAAAGCAAACCTAACTGTGCAACCACATCGCTCACCAGCTTGCTGCAACACCAACCCAGCCTCTGTCACCTCCTTGTGAACACCCACAAGCCAAGATTGCACCGAAATCAAGCCCATCTCATCCCAGTGCAGGCGGATGGAGAGTTGGTTTGATCACTCTTACAAAAGCAGTGGCAGAAATACCAGTTATTTTGCTGAAGGCAGATGTGGAGGAGTGCATGGACACTCAAGACTGACAGCTGTTTATCAGGATAACAGGGTGTGCCTCTAGAGGAAGTTAATTAATTCAGTTCACCTCATCAACACCAGTAGTAGGAAAAAATGAAAAGGGAAAAATCCTCATAGCTTCTGATAAATCTTTCAGAGTATAAATACGAAAATAAGGGGAAAGACTTAGTCATCTGTGTTCTCTGCACCTCTCTGCCCAGCCCCGTGTCAGGCTGCCACAACATAACATCTACCAGCAGAGATCCTTCCATGCCTTTTGCATACTTCTTCCCCTCCCTTCCTGGCATTCCCTTCCATACTCTTCCTCCAGCCATCCACACCCAGCAAGACTTTCATGAAACATTCACTTTTCCTTGAGGCCCACAAACACGCAAGGTAAGCAGCTAATTAAAATCTCCCAGCAATTTGAGTAGCCTTTGTTTTAAACCCTTGTAACTCAGGAACCTAAACTATATTTATAAGTGACTTGAGGCATTTAAGAATGGCAGTAAAAATTAGGTATTGCTGTCCTGGATGGAGCTGAGCCAAGTGAGTAGACTGCTATCACTGATTCCTCATGAGACACAATTGCACCCCAGAGCTGCATGAACAACTGTGCATAATGAACTAAACCAATCAAAGAAGTATAAAAAAACCCACTGATTTGGACAAATCAGCACCAAGTCATCTTGCTTTGAGCTGACTCAGTCCTGAAAATATATTAAGCTAAACCAAAGATGTGCTGAAATTGAGATGTAACTGCTATACGAAGCCTGTACTGTGTAAAGTCTCTACAATGACTTTAACTGGCATAAATCCGCGTGTGACAACATATAAATTACTGGGAACAGGGACTGCTGGTATTTATGCCTTGCTCACCTCTGAGGTGTCCTTACAGAACAGCGAGCAGCGACCTCCGCTCTGCGGTGCTGCCGGCCCCGAGGGTTCGCACCACACGGCTGTTCTGGAACAGTCACGACACGGGGGCACGGCCGACAGACCCGCGGCGACTTATCGCCCCTGCCCTGCCCTGCGCTTTGTTCCTGCCCTCCCAAATCTCGCTGAAGGCACCGCACCGCGAACACACGGGTCTGTGCACAGGGAGGCGCGGTCCGGGCGCCGCTGCCCCGGCAGACCCAAGATGGGAGCAGCACAACCCCCGCCGACCTCCAGCCCCGCAGCAAACACTCCCCGACGGGCAGCTCCTCCCGGGGGCCTCCCGCCCGCCGCCTCCCCGGAACGGGCCCTCGGTGGGCGCGGCGGGGGCGAGGGAGCCCCGCGCGACCCCGGCCCGGCGGAAGCCCCGGGGCGGCTCGGCCCGCCCGCTCCCCCGCCCGCCGGGGCCGGGACTGGGCCCGGGCCAGGGCCAGGCCGGGGCCGGTGCGGCGCAGGCGGCGCTGACAGGGACAATGCCCGCGGCCGCCCCGGCCCCGGCTCCCCCTGGACCGCCCGGCACCGGCCCCGCCCCCCTGGCCGGGCTCACACCAGGGGCCCACCGCGGCCACGGGGCCGGTGCCCGCACTCACCGCCTGCGGGCCGCTCCCGCCGCTGCTCCGGCCGCCGCCGCCTCCGCCCCGAGCAGGTGCCTGGCGAGCAGCGGGGCGGGTCCCGCGCGAGCCGCACGGCCGCTGGCTGTCCGCACGGGCGCGGCGGAGAGAAAGGGCGGGCGGGGGGGGGCGGCCCGGAAGGGGCGGGGCGGGCGGGGCCGAGCGGCGGCGGCTTCCCGCACCGCCCCCGACCGCCCCTCGCGGGCCGGGGCGCCCCCCGGGGCCCCCCGGGCCGGGCCTCTTGCTGCTGCTCTTCGGGGCTGTGGCGGGGCACTTACGTTCCCGGCCCCGGCAGAGGACGGGGAGCCCTGGTGCTCCCCAGGGTATTGAGCTCCGAGCAGCCACGCGGCTGGAACGCCCCGTGGTAAGCAGAGCCCTCCCGTGACACCGCGGGCCGACCGTGTCCTGGGGGCATCGGGCACAGCATCGCCAGCCGGTCGAGGGAGGGGATTGTCCCCGCTCTGCTCTGCACTGGGGCGGCCTCACCTTGAATATTGTGTGCAGTATTGAGCTATTAGAGAGCAGCCAGAGGAGGGCAACAGAGATGGTGAAGGGTCTAGAGGGGAAACCGTTTGAGGAACGGCTGAGATCACTTGTCTTATTCAGCCTGGACGAAACCTCATCGTGGTCTACAACTTCCTCGTGAGGGGAAGAGGAGGGTCAGGCACTGATCTGTTTTCTGTGGTGACCAGTGACAGGACCCGAGGGAATGGCCTGAAGTTGTGTCAGGAGAGGTTTGAGTTGGATATTAGAAAAAGGTTCTTCCCCCAGATGGTGTTTGGGCACTGGAACAGGCTCCCCAGGGAAGTGGTCACAGCACCAAGCCTGACAGAGTTCAATGAGAATTTGGACAATGCTCTCAGGCACATGATGTGATTCTTGGGGATGGTCCTGTGCAGGGCTAACGGATGGACTCGATGATCCTCCTGGGTCCCTTCCAATTCAGAATATTCTGTATTTCTGTGACAATTCCCACCACCCCTCTAGCCCAGGGAGTGGCTGCTGGCTCCTGCATGGGGCCGGGTGTGGCTGGAGCAGGGCAGGCCCAAAGTGCTGGTGGTTGCTGGGGACACCCAGCAACCTGGCTCTTTTGCTGGTCTTGGCTGTACCGTAGTGGGTCGGGCAGGAAAGGCTGGACCAAAGCTTCCCCGAGGCTGGATGGGCTCAACTCCACAGCTGAACCCATCCCAGGTGAGGTGACCATGGCCCTCTTGTCCCATGTTGTGAGGGTCATGAGAGTGTAGATGGTGAGCTGTAGGTGGTGCTCACCGAGGCTCTTAGCAAGTTCCTGGAGTTCCTGTCAGAGCGTGCACTGCAGGATGGCAGCGCTCTCCTTCCCTAGGAGATGGGATTCATTCCCTCGATTGCCAGTCCTGATAGCCAGCAGGCCCAACAGGTCTGGCGTGAGTTTTTCCTTCAGGAGCTGTAAACAGCAGGGTCACACACTGACACAAACTGAAGTCCTTTGGAAACAGAGTATCTTTTTATGGCAGAAAAACACCCAGAAAAAGATCACGCAAACTGATGCTATCTAGATTACACTGGCATCCAAGGCTGTTGGTCAGGGATCGTGAATACTCTTTGGTGCACTGTCAGCTCAGCTCATTAATACAAATTTGATTCAGCTCAGATGCAGACACACACTTTTGGTTTAGCCGAAGCACAGAACTGATGATGGTTTTGCATTTTTACAGTAGCTGCAGGAAGATGGGTGATACCTGATATGGTATCATTACAGAGCCTAGGCAGGTGATATCTGATCTGGTGTAAAGTTAGCCTGTCAACATTTTTTTTGTAAACAAATTAATTTAAGCCCAAAAAAGAGGCAGAGTCAGCTCTCTGTTTTACACAGCCTTGACATTTTTGATCCAGCTCAGAGTCATAGTGCTACATTTACTCTGTCATCAAACCATGGCCTAATAGGGTGAAGTTATATTCACTGGATAAAAGTGGAGAGGAAGGGCTGCTTACTCTTGGCATCATAATTAGTCCTCTTCAAAGGGATGGTCTCAGTTTCCTTACATTCCCAGTACCAGTGTGGACTGCTGATTTTGGCTATCCTTTTGGACTTTTAGCTGCTGACATCTTCCTCCCTCCTTTTATAGGACTGATCTTTTAGCAGAGCATTATCTTCAGTTCTCTATCTTCTCAACCCTGGCCCTGTTGCTGTAGGTGGGACTAAGGGATTCCTCATCACAGCCATCAGTCTGGTTGCTGTCTTTGTCTGCAGGATCCTGCTCGGTTCTTTGTGGACTAGCTCAAACACAAGGAACCCCTCACAATGTCTGTATAAAATAATTTCCTGCATTCACCAAAACACTTTGAAATTCTCTTAGGAAAAACATTTAGAAGTATTTTTAAATTTAGTTGTACTGTTTTTCCAATTAAAAGGCACTGCAAAAGACTTACTGAACTGTAGAGCATAGACATACAGTGTCAAGCTGCACTAAACAACACTTGCTTCCTCTTTGCTATGTTGGCATTTTTGTTATTAGACACTTGGGATGAGAACTGGGCCCAGTGAGCTTTAGATAGAGATAGTGAGACTGAAGCAGACAAATGCTGTTAATCTGCACTTTCCCAAAGAAACTTGGTCCAGCCTGGGAGGCTCAGCCACATAATGTGCAGTACCAGTTTGGCACAGCTCTCACAATACGTGGGATAATCACTGTATAGGCAGCCACACTTTCATTCTCAAGATTCAGAAAGTCAAACTAACAGTAAAAAAAGTTTGGTTTTATTACCTACTTCAGCTGGAGTAGTGGCTTGCCTGATCTCTGCACATGGGGGGCTACTGCTGCCCTGAAACTTGAAGCAAAAACTGGTCCAAAGCATGAAGTACAGACAAGGAGCCTCTATGTATATAGGATAAACTTCTACATTACATAAATGAAGAATTATCAAATTTCATTATTGACCTCTGTACTTGAAGTTGCCTCAGATGGTCTTGATCCAACATACATTTATTCTGATGGATAGCAGGATGGATACTATCCTGATGGATATTAAGGACACAAGGATCTCAGTGGTTGGGACCATGCAGTGTAAGAAAACAACAACTTAAGCACACTTTACAAATGAAATTAATATTCAAATCAATGCCTGTTAGTAGCTCCACAGCATCATTATTCCCCATCTCCAAATTGTGAAGGCTATTCTATTGCACAAGACTTGGCAATTACTGCTTATTAAGACTAATTATTTTAATCTATTTCCATGTTTTATTTCTAATTAAGTGTCATTAGAATAGAGAATCACTTTCATATTCCTTTAATGTCTAATTTAGTAAACATTCCCTTTGGAAAGAGCATGGCTGTGGTTTGCATGCTAAATACTTGGAAATGATGAATGGAAGTTACCTAAAATTCAAAGGCAGGAACTAGCCCTCGACAGCAGACAGATCTGTTCTTTCAAGGAGGCATTTCATTTTCCACATAAAATGTTACTGTTGGCACTGAACTTTGCTGAACTGTATTATGCTAATCTAAAAAAAAAAAAAAGTGGAAATAAAACACTTCCTTGATTGCTGGCAAGGTCAGGCACAGCAGCAGGCAGAGCAAGGGAGCCTGAGCTGTGCTGGGGAGCATTGCCTGGGCTTTCCTGCACTGCCAGGGCTGACCACCACAGCAGCTGCTGCTCAGCACCTGCTCTCCACTGAGGTGCACCAGATAAAGTAAATTAAAAGCTTTTTGTAAAGAGTGGGTGAGCTTGGTTATCATACACAATTTGTTTTGTTGTCTGCAGACAGAGGCTGTAGATGGTGACACTAAAAGGGAAGCAGCATGTTGGAGCAGTGAGGGAGGGTCTGATGGAGTCAAAACTCTCAGGGGCATGATCCACCATCGAGGACTGCAGTTCAAGGGTAATCATGGTTTTACCAACCAACCTCTCATAATATCTAAAGGGAAATGTCTCTTTTGTACTTCACTGTCTTGTACTTCACTGTCTTGTTATGCCTCCTGATAAGATTTGCATGGCTTCATAAACTTGAAACTCTGCTTTTAGAGGAATTTCACTTTTATGCTTTCTTCTTCTGCCCCTCACCCACCACTATCCCTTAGTGCAATCAGGCATTTTTTTATTAAACTACTTTCACCAAACCACAAAGTCTGTCTCCTGTCTTGAAATGAGAACAAGCTGCCTAATTCTTTGCAGGCACGCTACTCATTTGCTTCTTCTAATGATAATAATAATAAAAAAATATTTCTGTTGTTGTTCAGTGGAATAAAATTAGGTAAACCTCCAAGTCCCCAGCAAAGGAGCATCAGGTCTTATTTTACAGAAAATGAGATATTGGTGTTTACGTCAGTTCCTGAGGTCACTTGTAAAAGTAATTTCAAATCTGTAATACCTTATCCAGAGAAGGCAAGAATTTGTTACAGAATAAACCAAAAACCCCAAATTTAGTTTTAAGAACTTAAACAGCTTTCTGGGGAACTGTGATATTTTTTCAGTCCAGGCTCAAAGCAACAGATAATGACTCTCTCCCTAACTGAGGAAATAAGTCCTACATTATTTAGCCTTGAAACTTAAGGAAAGCTGAAAAGTAATTGTTTAATTAAAACCCAAAGGAATGTGAGAGGATGACTGACTGCATGACTTGGCTCTGATAGT